TATATGGGATGCCAGCATTGCACCAAGCACTGCACCCACCCACCAACCCACCCCCCCCCCCTTTTTTTTTTAGAAACTTCATTAACTTTAAAGAAGCACTCAAGAATGATATGTCTTTTGGGAGCACTTAGACATAGCTATAATGCAGATCTTTGAGGACAGAAGTCCTGCATGAGAAGTTAGTACACAGTGACTCTTTTTGTTAATTTAAGAATTAACACTCTTATAGGCTAAGGAAGCCTTTTGAATCCACAAACTCTGTCAGTATTTAGAAAAAACCATAAGCAAAGTGGAAGTTCTCTCTTCCCTTCAGAGAAAAGTATCTCCTTCTTTGATGATCACTTCTTTCCACTGGGGTCTCACCCACCAAGATCCTTCATGTAGGACATTTTTTGCCTCAATGTCTTGGATTTCCAAGACTGAAATTGAGCCACTTCTGACACTCTGTGGGCTGTTGAAGGGTTGTTGGCCTTTTTGCCTTTTAGGCTAGAGGAATCACACTAGTACTAGTATAGATTCTTACAAATATGCTTATTGGTATCAGGACGGGGTGTACAATTAAATCATTCAGCCAAATGTCTAGTGACTTTAAAAAATTAACTAGTTTGGGGCTGGTGCTGTGGCACAGCGGGTAAAGCCACTGCCTGCAGTGCCGGCATCCCATATGGGTGCTGGTTCGAGTCCCGGCTGCTCCACTTCCAATCCAGCTCTCTGCTATGGCCTGGGAAAGCAGTAGAAGATGGCCCAAGTCCTTGGGCCCCTGCTTCCACATGGGAGACCTGAAAAGAGGCTCCTGGCTCCTGACTTTGGATTGGCATAGCTCCGGCAGTTGCAGCCAATTGAGGAGTGAACCAGTGTATGGGAGACCCCTCCCTCCCTCCCTCCCTCTCTCTGTGTAACTCTGACTTTCAAATAAATAAATAAATCATTTAAAAAATTGACTAGTTTGATTTGATGTATTTTAATTTCATTGCAGCTGATGTGAAAAATGGCTTAGATAACCATTTCTGCTTTCTGTAGCAAAGAGTGAGGATTCTACTTGGTCTGTGTAGTCTTACTGCATCTATCATTGGTGACCCATTTGTTTATCTGAACTGTAGCTCAGTTTGAATGTTGCTAGGATTGTGGACATCAGGGTAGAGAGGAAGGCTCCTTTGTTCCTCAGCCAGAGCGTAGGGTCTGAGGGGAGGGCATATGTGCGTTAACGTGGGTTGTGGCGAGAATTCGGTAGGATGCATGCTTCTTGCTAGGTCATGAAACCCTGAAGTCTGAATCACCTCAGTTGGCCTGCGAAGGGCTTCCTAAAGCCGGACTTGGCTTTATGGGCCCTGGAGCCAGTTTTTGCTCTGGAGAAATCTTTGAGCTTAGAGTAAGTGCATTTATGGATAGAAAACATTTTGTAACTGAATGTGCCTAGAGAACTGGGGTACATGTGTGTGATTTTGGCTAGGTCTGTGTAGGATGAAAAATACGGTCATCTTCCTTCGACTTAGGAGGAGAGTGGGGGTAAACCTCAGTGTTTTCTGTGTTTCAAGTGGGAAGAGAGGATCTGCCAGCTTTATCTGGGAGCAAGAACTGAAAATGCTGGGGATTGGGCCTTGAGAGGATGGTGATGGAACAATCTGTTGGGGACCAAGTAGATAAGCTCTGGTATGAATGGAGGGAGAAAGGTTTAGGGGAGGAAATGGTAGCATCTAGCAACTCTGGGCATGGGCCTGTGATCCTGGGCTGAGGCATAGGCAAATGCATGTGCATTTATGTGCATGTATGTCCCATACTGCTGGAGGGTATAGGCTGTGGTAGAAATAGTTTGAACTTTAAGTCAACGACTGTGGGGAGCAATCCGGACTGGACTGAGTTACTGGAATTAAGACTTATTCTATGCATCTGCTCTCCCACAATATGGCGCTGGGAGAGAAGTAAACAGCTTCCGCACAGCTGCCTCCAGTTCAACCAATAAACTGTAGGACTTGCTCCTGATTGGAGGAGAGCAGCGTACTCGGCGTGTGGGCAGCCGAGTTAGGATTGGCGGAGGAGGACTATAAAGGAGGAGAGAGACGGCATGCACCGGGAACATCTATGGGGAACATCTAAGGGGAACATCTGAAGGAACGCCTGTGCAGCCCCCAGAAAGCCGGCCGGCGGTGTGCCGCTCCCCTGCGGAAGTGGGGAATGTGGCCAGGGGGAACTGCCCTTCCACTGAGGTGGAAGGGATAGTAGCCAACCCGGGAAGAACCAGCAGCAAACCCGGGGAGGGCCGAGCAGACAAAAGAACAGCGCAGGGTCCTGTGTCGTTCCTCCACGAAGAGGGGGAGCGACAAACGACATGTGAGTTCAGGTCCCATCACTGATTCCCTACTTAAAATTTGAATAGTATTGTGCACAATTCTTAACAGATACTTTCTTTCTTGAATGTTCTGATCTCTGGAAGGTTAATGGGTTGCTAAGAAGCTGGTACTTTACAGAAACCAGGGACCCAGAGTTCACTCCAGACTTGACATGTCTTCACAGGAGGAAGAAAGAGACCTTGGGTTCCTTCTGATGGCAATCCTTGCCTCTTCAAGGTTGGAAAGGGCTTTGGATGGACTGGGGAGACTGATAGCTCTCCTTAGCCAGCCCTGCGGTCCTAAGCAAGTCTGTTGCTCTTCTAGGGAGGCTGTAGCATGAATTACATCTGTTGAACTTTAATCCTCTGATAATAGGCAATCTATGTTTGAGACCTTTTGGTAAACACAACCTTTTAGTAACAGAGGTACACATTCTGGAAGGCTGGAAAGTGCAAAGAGCAGCACAACAGGATTGGCTCATCAGCCACACTGGAGACTGTTGTCAGTGCTTGCACACAGCTCTCTTTGGTCTGTACCTGCTGCGTGTCTGTGAAGCAGAGCTAATCGTATCCGCCCAGTAGGCTCTTCTGAGCTCTAATCTTTTTAGTTCCCTGTCTACCTTCAGTGGTTCCCTGATGGTCTGCACCAAAATATGTTTCTCTCTCTGGCTTTGAAGTCTCTCCACACTTTGAAGAGAACATTTACCATGAACATTTGCCCTGTATTTTTTCAGTTTCTAGATTTATCCCAGAATGCAACTGTGGTTTAGTACTATAAAAAGATGTATCATTCACCATCTTAAAAGATTAAAGGAAGAAACTCTCTACAATCATTAATGCACAAAAATATTTGATAAGATTCAGTATAACTTTATGATTAAAAACTGTTACTAAACATAGGGAATTTTCTTAACCTGGTAAGAAGCATGCACAAATCATTTCACAGTCATACACAATGGAGAAACATTGGGAACATCTTTAAATTAGGAATACGTGGGCTGGCATTGTGGCACAGCGATTATGCTGCTTCTTGTGACTGTGGCATTACATGTCAGAGTGCTGGTTCAAGTCTTGGCTGTTCCACGTCCAATGCAACTTTCTGCTGATGCACCTGGGGAGGCAGCAGAAAATGGCCCAAGTGCTTAGGTCCCTGCCACCCACATGGTAGGCCAGGATGGAGTTCCTGGCTCTTGGCTTCAGTCTGGTCCAGATACGACTGTTGCAACCATTTGGGAGAGTAAGTCAGAGGATAGAAGACTTCTCTCTCGTGCATATTCTCTCTCCATTGCTCTGCTTTTCAACTAAATAAATTTTTTTTAAAACTTAGGAGTATGACAAGAATGTTCACTACTACCTTTCTGTTCAACATTGTGTGGTCATTCTAGCTATTGCAAATTTTTTTTTGAAAAAAGAAGTAATGGAGGGCATTTGACCTGCTGGCCAAGGTGGCTATTTGGCATGCCTGATTTCCGTAACAGAGTGCCTGGGTTCAAGCTCTGGCTCATGGTCTGGCTTCCTTGCTACTGCTACTGTGCACTCTGGGAAATAGCAGATGATGGTGCAATTAATTGGGTCCCTGTCACCCAATTAGGGAGACTTGGATCGAGTTTCCAACTTCTGATTTCAACCTTGGCCTTTGTGGGCCTTTGGAGACTGGACCAGTGTTAGGAGTTCTCTCTCTCTGTTGTTCTGTCTTTCAAATATATAAAAAGGAAAGAAAAGAAAAGAAAGAAGAGGGGAAAAAATCAGAGGTCTGAGAGATGGGAAGGAGGGATAAAAACTCCGGTATTATATGCACTTCATATGGTTGTCTAAGTGGAACATCTGATTGAATTATGGTCAAACAGGAATAATAGAAACATTTGGCAAGATGGCTGGATATAAGATCAATCAGCAGAAATCAGTTGCATTTTGTAAACCATAACAATCAGAAAAGATACTCTGAAAGCAGTAAAAAAACTATGAAGCAATTAGGAATAAATGCAATCAAATATATGTAAGATCTTTCCTCATACAGGAAAAAAATAAAAGTTTAAATGACATTAAAGAGGATCTAAAGAAATGGAAAGATGGCCAATGTGTGTGGCTAGGAAGGCATACTGTCAGAAAGATGTTCGTTTTCTCCAAACTGATCTGTAAATTCAATGCAGCTTCAATCAAAATAGCATCAGTGTTTTTTAAATAGAACATGACAAGCTGATACTAAAATTAGTATGAAAGAGTAACGGAAACTAGAATAATGAAGACACTCCTTAGTAATAATAATAACTAGAAACTGGTTCTGTCAGATATCAGACCTTATTATGAAACTGCAGGAATAATGTGCTTCTGGTACAGACAGACCAACCCATGGAATAGGTTAGGGAGTCTGGAAATAGATCCCTGCTTATTTGGGACTTTAATATGTAACCTAAAGTGCACAGATAGATGAGTGGGAAAAAGAAGTGCCAATCAATAGAACTGATAGGAAAAAATTAGATCCTTGTTTCATATCATGACATATAAAAGTTAATGCCAGACAAAAATAAAGGCTTAAATGTTGAACTTAGAGATGAGAACAGGCTGACAGAGATTACACTGGTGGGCGGGTAAATGCACAGACTGCGGCAGGTGGGTGAACGGGTTTACCAATGTGTGATCCTCTCTTCCCCTCCCTCTTCCTTCCTGTTCACAGCGTCAAGCCAGGCTCCCAGCCCCCGATTCAGGCTGGAGATGATGAGAAGAACCAGAGGACAGTCACAGTCAACCCTGCCCACATGGGGAAGGCATTCAAGGTTATGAATGAACTGCGGAGGTACTTTTTCTTGTCTTGCTTTGCCCTTTCGGAAGGCAGTTGTGTGGTGAGCTTCATCGGGGTCCAGAACACAAATCAGAACACCACCACTTAGCAAATTCTGACTCTTCTCCACCCACTCTCTGTCATTCGGCTTCCCCTTTCAAACTCTGATTGAGACAGAATAGTTCTGCCAGAAATCTCTTCCTTTGTATTTATTTAACACCTACCATTTTGGTGATTAATCACAGAGGAGAAAAATCCTTTATGGTTACAGCAGATCTGTTCATAAACTTGATTTCCAATAATAGAATGATTGCAACACCTACACACATTTGCAGATTAAAGATTGTGGATGTCATGTATTTTCTTTTGGTTCCCCCTCTTTGTTTCCTTGGTCTGAACTCAGCTTGGCACGACAGCCATGTGAATGGAAGAATACCTTGTTCCTTAAATGCAACTGAACTCCAGACAGAGAGAAATGAAATGCAAATGTGCTCATCCTCTCTGTGCTAAATGGAGAGGGTATGCAGGGTATTGGTCAGGACGTTGTGCCTGTTTGGTAAGCTTGTTGCAAGGCAGGTTCAGAGCACTGCGCATATTTTCCTGACAAAGCTTCTGCACACCATCTCTTCCTTGCTAGAAAGCTCAGAACTTCCATTCCCATGCCAGTATTTACTGCATACTTTGTGTCGCTCCCCCTCTTCGTGGAGGAACGACACAGGACCCTGCGCTGTTCTTTTGTCTGCTCGGCCCTCCCCGGGTTTGCTGCTGGTTCTTCCCGGGTTGGCTACTGTCCCTTCCACCTCCGTGGAAGGGCAGTTCCCCCTGCCACATTCCCCACTTCTGCAGGGGAGCGGCACACCGCCGGCCGGCTCTCTCGGGGGCTGCACAGGTGTTCCCCTTAGATGTTCCTGGTGCATGCCGTCTCTCTCCTCCTTCATAGTCCTCCTCCGCCAATCCTAACTCGGCTGCCCACACGCCGAGTACGCTGCTCTCCTCCAATCAGGAGTAGGTCCTACAGTTTATTGGTTGAACTGGAGGCAGCTGCGTAGAAGCTGTTTTCTCCTCTCCCAGCGCCATATTGTGGGAAAGCAGATGCATAGAATAAGTCTTAATTCCAGTAACTTAGTCTAGTCCGAGTTGCTCCCCACAGATCCCCCTTTCTTTTTATTTTTTGGCGTTGATACGCGCCTGTCTTCGGTGTCCCGCGGCACACACTCTGCTCTGCTTGCTAGAGTTGCCCGCAGGTTCTTACAAGTCCTATCAATCAGGCAAACTGAATCCGGGTCCTCTCTTCGCCATGTTGTGAGGAGGTTTTTAGGCGCTGATGCGTACCTGTGTTCGGTGCCCTGCAGCACATGCTCTGCTCTGCCTGCAGGGGCTTACAAGCCCTAACAATCAGGCAAACCGAATCCAAGCCTTCTCATTGCCGTGTTGTGGGGGAGACTTATTAGTGTTGGTTCGTGCCTATCTTCGGTGACCTGCAGCTCATACTCTGGTCGAGCTGCCTGCTGGTGCTTACCGCCTTACTAATCAGGCAGACCGAATCCAAGCCTTCTCATTGCGGTATTGTGGGGAGACTATTGATGTTAATTCATGCCTGTCTTCGGTGACCTGCGGCGCGTAAGTTGCTAGCCGCCCGCAGGTGCTCATCGCCTCACTAATCAGGCAGACCGAATCCAAGCCTTCTCATTGCAGTATTGTGGGGAGGCCTTTCTATTTGTCTATCTCCGGGCATTCCTATTTCTCCCATTTTACTTCTGTCTGCCAACATTCCTATTTCTCTCATTTTACTTCTAAACTTCTGTTTCTCTTATCCCCGCGGCTTCCCGGCGCCCGCCCCGAGGCTACTTCTCGGTGGCTTCCCGGCTGAGCCGCTTCAGCCCGCTTCTCTTATCTGCGCGGCTTCGCGGCTCTGCGCGGCTCGGCTTCGCGCGCACACTCCGCGGTCTCGCACTAGCCCAGCGTTCCCTATCTACTTGTGCCCTGCACGCTCTCTCTGCGCGCGGCAGCCTCCGCGAGTCACACAGCCCCAGCTCACGTCTCCGCCACTAGTATTCAATCTAAGTTCCCCGGGCTAACCTGGCGAATTCAACCCAGCTCACGTTTCCGCCCCACGATCTGGCTTCCCGTCCTTTGCTCCCCGGGCTAATCAGACGGATCCCAACCTGGCTTACGTTTCCGCTTCTGGTTTCAACTCTTCGCCCCCCATTCCCGGGCTAACTTGAGAATCCCAAAGTGGCTTTCGTCTCCGCCTCGGCCTGCCCCCGCAGCTTCAATTTCCCTAACATTTTTCTCTACCCGGTATGTTTCCCCAAGCTTTCCTCCAACAATACTCCTCCCTCATTTCTCCTGGCCTCTCCCCACAGTCCGCATCCGAGTCTGTTTGTTCTAGCTTTCACTTTCGCTTTCGACCTTAGAGATTTCTCCCAGCTTCCCCCCGTAGTCCGTATCTGAGTCTATGCCTAGGCTTTCAATAGCTTCTTCCGGCACCTTTTTCGTCCGGCTTTTCCCTAGGCTGTTTGCTAGTCTCTCTGGTATTTTCCCATTTCTTCCCGTTTCTTCCCTCCTAGGTTTCCTATCCAAGTCACGGCACCATTATGTCCCTCCCCCTCTTCGTGGAGGAACGACACAGGACCCTGCGCTGTTCTTTTGTCTGCTCGGCCCTCCCCGGGTTTGCTGCTGGTTCTTCCCGGGTTGGCTACTGTCCCTTCCACCTCCGTGGAAGGGCAGTTCCCCCTGCCACATTCCCCACTTCTGCAGGGGAGCGGCACACCGCTGGCCGGCTCTCTCGGGGGCTGCACAGGTGTTCCCCTTAGATGTTCCTGGTGCATGCCGTCTCTCTCCTCCTTTATAGTCCTCCTCCGCCAATCCTAACTCGGCTGCCCACACGCCGAGTACGCTGCTCTCCTCCAATCAGGAGTAGGTCCTACAGTTTATTGGTTGAACTGGAGGCAGCTGCGTAGAAGCTGTTTTCTCCTCTCCCAGCGCCATATTGTGGGAAAGCAGATGCATAGAATAAGTCTTAATTCCAGTAACTTAGTCTAGTCCGAGTTCCTCCCCACACTTTGTCCTGTTTTGAGGTCTAATTACGTACCTCCTCTTCTCTGCAGATCATGAGCTCCCTGAGGGCAGGAGCAACTTCTGAGTAATTTTGATCTCTGGCACCTGGCACTTCATAGGCGCTTCAGTTCATTCACCAAAGATGCCCAGAAGCCCTGGCTCTGCCCGGGACAGGCATCTTGGGGTACAAATAAAAAATGTAAATAGTGCAATGAAACGATCTTTCTACTGTGCTGATTGGAAGTATGAAGGACAGTGGATATGTAGTAATAGTTTGCTTCTTAAAGCATCCTGCAGAAACAACTACATTGGTGAATACGTGCTGGAACTGAATTTGGAAGGGCAAGGATTCAATGAACAGCAGTGGGGGCAGGGAGAAGCCTTCTAGGCAGAGAAAATGGAATACAGCCAGAGAAGTGTTTGTTGAGTAGGGAACTGAACTATTTTAAACAAAAAGTCCTGTCTGAATCTATATTTGTATCCTCATCTCTCTTTTCTGTAGGACATGGTCTTTGGCATTAGAAAACAAGTTAAATTAAATTTGTCTCACGCTCTAAAGCTCAGTTTTTATTAGGCCTCCTGCCAGATTTCCTGGAAGCAGTGCCCATTGCTGCCTTAGGCACTGGGCAGTGCTGATGCTCTTGCTTATGGGCATGGTTCTGTTGTTCCTAGGGAATTTTTTGTTTTGGACAGGCAGAGTTAGACAGAGAGAGAGAGAGAGAGAGAGAGAGAGAGAGAGAAAGAACTTCCTTCTGTTGGTTCACCCCCAAATGGCCGCTATGCCGGCGCACTGTGCTGATCTGAAGCCAGGAGCCAGGTGCTTACTCCTGGTCTCCCATGTGGGTAAAGGGCCCAAGCACTTGGGCCATCCCTCACTGCACTCCCTGGCCACAGCAGAGAGCTGGCCTGGAAGAGGGGCAACCGAGACAGAATCCAGCGCCCCAACTGGGACTAGAACCCGGTGTGCCGGCGCTGCAGGTGGAAGATTAGCCTAGTGAGCCGCAGTGCCGGCCATAGGGAATTTATGTTGTGTTTCCTAGACACTAAAGTTCCTCATTTAGTCCCTCTGGGTATGGCTTATTTTGTCTGAGTTAAGAAGCAGAGTTTCCCACCAGGTCTTACTTTACTCAGTATAGTGAAGTTTGGTGACCACTGAAAGGGTCACAGATATGTACACAGGATTCTCCTACTCCCACTTTCTTTTAAATTTCTATTTTTATTATTTTTATTTAGAAATGGGGTGGTGGATCAGGGAGAGAGAGAGAGAAACAGAAATCGAGACACAGAGCTCTCATCTGGTAGATCACTTCCCAAATGTCAGCAGTGGCTGCGGTTGGGTTGGCACTGAAGCCAGGAGCCAGGAACTCAATCCAGGTCTTCCACATGGGTGACAGAGACCCAACCATCTGACTCATCGCTGCCGACTCCCAAGGTGTGCAATAGCAGGCAGCTGGAAATGGAGTTAAGAGATAGGAACTGAAACCAGGAACTTGTCGTAGGAGTGGGTGTCTTCACCAGCATGTTAACCTCTTGGCTAAACGCTTACCTTTCTGTTATTAGCATCTTTCTGTTTTCTAAAGTAACTTTTAAAAACTCTTCCTGCTTCTGTTAGAGGTTACTCCTTTTTTTTTCTCTGTTTTTCTCCAGAAGCATCAATTTGATTTAACCCCTTCCCACAGTCTTGCTCCTTTTTATCTTCTGTTTAATTTAGCATTCACCACAGTCTTTTCTAAGGAATGCTTCCTCCTTCAAAATGTTCTGTGGGAAAACAAGAGTTTTATATTCAAATAAGTTGGAAAAATATACCCTCCTCAGGGATCATAGTGCATATCATCGTATCAGATGACCCCGAGATGTTCTGAGACATACTGGTCTGACTGAGAGATTCTCATGCATGTTGATTGCAGGACTCTCTATGGTTGTTTCATGTATATGGACCAGCTATTTTGTGAGAC